CTACTTTATCATCTTAGTCGTATTTTATATCCATATTAACGGTGGATTTATTGGTTTTGATATTTATAATTTCATAGACGATAATTAATTGCGATCTTACATCAAACAACGGTAAAGTTAATATTTCTCATTTTTTGTTTTCATTTCACTAGCTAACTAGTCACCAGTTAAAGTTGGCATTATTGGCAACCCTCTCTGGTTTACAAAGATTGCATGATCTGGGAGTAGTCCATAACGACTTCAAGCCATCCAATGTTCTTGTAAGTATATATGTAGTAGTAGATGGACAAATAGTAAATAGACAATTAGAGTATGCACAATGTTGGGTAGAGCCTGTCAGAAATACACTAATAAATTTCCAATATTTATTACGTTTTTGTACCAAATAACGACCAGTGAATTGAATATAATTTTGTTGAGTTTGGGTGGAGTGTTTATTCAAACAGTGGCCTCGTTGGATTAGTAGATTTGTTCTGCTTGATGTTTGTAAATAGTATCTCGCACATACAATATAGTTTACATTTTAAACATTATAAATAATATATGCAGAATGGTAGTGGGTAATCGTAGCCCTTGGATATTATTCCATACAATTAGATGTTTCAGGTCCTTTCTCAGAGTAATATCTTATTATAATCTGTGGTTCAAATTTGGTTAATTTGTTTGATTCACTATATAATGTTCATAACACTCAGTGGATTAACACTCATTTATTTATTTATTGTTTTTTTGTTGTAGGTGAAAATCGAAAATGACGGGAAACCAAGCTGCCGCATAGCTGACTTTGGCGTCAGTGTCACCATCGGAAGCAGTGACTTCTCAGGCGCGGGCACGGTGGTGTACATGGCACCAGAGGTTATTTGCAAAAAACCTCCACCGTGTCCCGCCAAAGACATTTGGGCACTTGGGTGTTCCATGGCTGAGGTGGTGACACTGCAGCTTCCACATCTATGCGGTACGTTAGTTGGTTTCATTAAACGTATAAGAACAGATGTCGCGGTTGGCAAGGTCATCACGCCCATTAACATTAGGCATCTAGGAAGAGGAGTATATAAGGACTTGTGTATGGCTTGTTGTGCTATGGAGCCATCGTTGCGACCAGCAGCTGGGGACCTTATTAATGTCATCAGGAACATCTCTCCTGATGACATCATTCAAAAACTGTAATAAATTATGTTAAAACTATAACATTGGTGTAGTGTCTTATATTTTAGTTAATGGTATCCCAGAGTTCATTGTGGTATTTATCTATTAAAGTAATAAGAATATACGTTGAAATACTAGTATTCAGGTTATATGTTCGACTATTTAAACAATTATGACACCTTCTTTTTCTGTTGCATTTTATATCTTTGACTATTTGTACGATGTATTTTAGAAGATAAACAAATAAAAAAGTAACCATTCATCTCAATTTCTTTCCAAATTATGTTATATAAGCAAAGATTACCGTTTTTTTCTACATATTAAATGAAACATCTCAATTGTGTGAATCTTATTGTTATTTATAAGTTTAGTTACTTGCATAATACCATGGAATATCTCGCGAGGACGAGATGCTGAATTGTTAGAGTTACGGATATCGAGAACATACAGGTACAAAAACTACCACGCCCACTTTTGCAAAACCACACCCAAATTGTAACTTGATGTCCAATTAACAATTTACAGAACTTCGAGGTACGGGCAACATATATTTTTGTTAAACATCCACATTTAGTTACTCGAGTTTCCATTATCACTTAACAGAACTTTGAATAAAAGGAAATATACAAAGTTAAACAAAACAAAAATTATATTTTGCCTGTAAATTAAAGTTTGAGTTACTAAATGTGGACGTTCAACAAAAACAAAAATATAGGTTGCCCTTAACTCGAAGCTCTGTTAACTGAATTGAACATATTGAATTACAATTTGTACATGGTTTCGCGAAAGTAGGCATGGTTTCCGAGATATGGATGTGGTCATTTTTGGAACTTGATGTTTTTGTAACTCAATGTTCATAACTAGGACAATTCATCATGTAGTGAGGACTTGGGCTCAGTTGCAGGCCTAGCAGTTGAGTAATAAACATCTTACTTACTCCAGTAGATGCTCCATTCCATAGCGTTATTCTCCTCTTGTATTTGGCGACAAATAATCACTTAGTTCACAGTGACCTTGAACTAGTCTCCAAAAAGTGGCTGTGTCAGAGGAGTGACATTTCAAACTTTCGTGCTAAGTCTGCATTTGTTTTTCCCTCTGAATTTGAACGCATACATACACAATAAGGCACTGAATTCCCTACCTTTACACTGATAAATAAATAACTCAACTGTCCCAAGATAATACCCAATGAGTTATTTATTATTTTGATTTCTCACGGGCGCAGGTGAACAAATCTGTCACCATGGCAACAAGAGCGATGAATTATCCTTGAGATGAAAGTGTCCAGGAATCAGCTGTTAACTGTGTAACATACACGAGTTGGTGGAATGGGTGGGTTGACTGTATTGGTTAATGAAGAAGGTATCTTTATTTGGGCATTCGTTACTGATGAAAAGTTAAAATATATGGGCTCAATTCGAATAATTGTATTCCATCATATGATCTTGTATCAATACCAGAACTATCATGTAATGTTTTCTGTACACCTGGCTAAACAGGTTACATTTCCAATTTTTAAATATTTTTGTGCCACGTGACAATCTCAAAACTGAATATCAGTTTTCATTCGTTTTGCCACATCTAGAAAACGTGTACATGTAATTCACATTTGGGACCATGTGACATAGCTGTGAATATTTGCGAATAATTGCTTTTATATAGGTGAATACCTATATAAAAGCAATTTAGTGGAATATTCTGAAGTCAACCATGCCTTGTCAATTACCCAAGTTGAAATATACAATGTAATGAAATAAAGTTTTGCATGTTACATCCCTATCGAGTTGGCATCAATAACTTTGGAAGGAGGGTCCTGTAATGGTAGCTAAAGCCACCTCATACCCAGATGTTGCCACCATCAAACAGGTTGTGCTGTCTGAAGCGTTCACCAGGGCATCATTTTTTTCTACAAAGTGAATGACACGTCAAACCCAGGATAAACAAGCAGCTGTGGCATCATGTCAGAACTGGTCGAACATTTCCCTCCGACAAACAGTTCGGTACGAGTTGCTTTTCTGATTGTCCTGCATAGTTCAGTGTTGAGATGAGGAGGTTGTGACCCTTAGCAGGGGCACGTTGCAGCAAGTGGATGACCGGACCTGGGTTTTGAGCGGTCATGCAATGGGCAATGTGTTCACCTAATCAATATGCATCTTAATGTACCAACCTTGAAAATAAATTGCCTATGAAATCTGTTATACCCCAAAAGAAAAATGTGAGCAGGCATGCAACAGATGATTTCCAGGGATACACGACAGTAAACAATCTTTAATATTGTCTGGACACCAGCTATCCTTTAATGGGTTGAACAATTTAGACAGGTCTGGCATCCTGAGCAGGGTTGTGTTATGAATATTGCTGGTGAATAACATTGCCCAAACCTATTTGATACCAATAATTTTGTGTAGTATATACCAAAGAACAGTTTTATCGGTCAGTTTTAAGTTTCTCTATTTTCTTTGGCTTGACAAGCACCACTGCAATGCTTAGACTATTTTTGCATTTATACCAGTACACTGCCAATTGTAATGAATAACCGCTCGTTAGCCACTCTGAACTGGGAGCAGATTACATGAAAGACCATAGTTTCAATCGAAGTTGCCAATTGAAACGTGTTACTGCAACATTAGAATTAAACTCGTGGAGTGCTTCTTTATCCATCACACAACACTGCTCATTGAGCTATCTAGATTTCTATGTTATCGTTGGCTCATTTCCCTCCATGTATTTTGGGGTTACTGAATATTCGTAATGAGATACTATTGCACATCTTTCAGATATGATTGACGAATGCATGCATGTACTGCTTTTAGGCATTGTGCAATAAACGTTCAAGGACATTTATGGCATATTTTGAGATTTTAGGCATGTTCCCTTTCCAATTACAAGGCCTACAAAAATTTGTACAAAATACCTATAGGCCGTTTGGGGCAATGGTTTTATGATGGTCTTTCTGATATACAAAGTCCTCTCACTATATATCCTCTAGTGGAGTTTCATTCTATACAAACTCACTTCTACTTTGAAATTCTTCTTGACCAATGGTGGTGGGAATGATAAATGGGTGAAGCCAAATCTCAACTGAGTTTTAGAGGGTCACCTTGCCTTAGTGTTTCTGAATATGGAGAATTGTCAGTATTTTTTACAGGGAACTGCGGGTCATGCCTCAGAGTTCAAGCAGTGAATTCTAAAAGTAATTTGCTATTGACTCTTTGTCAGTGTAACATATCAGGGGATTATTGATGGATTAGATGTGTACACAAATATATGTGATACAATTAACAGACTTTCAGCACACAGGAATTCATGCACTAAGTAATGCCACCAAAGACTTTACATCACAAGCACAATTTAATTACTTAGTATCTTTATACAGTTCATTATGCCTGTTTTGTGGCAATCCTCTTATCACGTTCTTCTGCAATTGTGAGACGAATACCCTTTCCTTTGGCTAGTGATATCCATGGTTTGTTTCCCTTGCCGATCACAAACACATTGGTGAGACGTGTGGCAAAAGTATGTCCTAAAATATAAACACAAACAGGTCAGTCAAACATTGAATACAAGACAGTGTTGGTTGGGAGGAAAAATACAGTAAAATGTTTTTAATTTGTTATTTAGGTAAAAATCGCATGACATACCATTACTTGCACTTACAGCCATCCTATTCTTAGAATATATGGGGACAGCAGAGTTGGAGTACACAGAATTAAGTACACAGCATGCGCAATAATTAATAAAATTACCTAGATTATCTTTAACATGGACAATATCAAAGGATCCTGGATGACGCTCTCGATGTGTGATCAGACCCACTCTCCCCAAGTTACGACCTCCGGTGATCATGCACACATTACCTGGCAAATGAAATTAATTTATTCATTACATGATGAAATTATAATTATTTGACAAGATTCAGTATTTGAAACGATGTATATTGTTTTTCTCATTGGTGATGCTCTGATGATACGACATTGTCACCAAGCGACCGTATTGAGAAATTTTTAATATAAGCCCAGTTTGACCACAGCTCAGCACAGAAATTGAGAGTATGGCTTCGATCAGGCTAGGAGAAATTAGACAACACTATGGACTGATATACCACATTTCCCCCCCGAGCATAAGCCCTTCCCCAAGTATACGCCCACCCCTCTATTTTTGGACATTTAACGAGTTGAGGGCATCCCCGAGTATAGGCTCAGGGTTTTTTTACCTGGCGTTGACATTTATTAAAATATGTAAAAAAGTGCAATTCATTGCATAAAAATCATGGCGGACGAACACACATTTTATATTCTATTATTTACTCAGGATGAACCCCAATGTTGCTATACTGTAGTAATCCACATTTCTTTCGAGTAATAGTTTTCATAAAGCCAAAATGTGAGCGAGCAAACTTTTTTTCAACAACTTGTGACCGTCTTCTATCCTCAGTTTACCTTTCAAAAATTGTGAATCAACAGCTTTTGGGGAAGAAAAAAAAAAAAAAAAAAAAAAAAAAAATCACCCACAGACCCTACCCATTTTTGCACCGGAAATTCATACGGTATG